CTTGTGGGTTTTCAGCCAAATATAAAGAAATCACACTATCACGCTTGAAGTCCAACACGAATAATTTTTTTTCTGAAAAAATCTCACCAAAATGCTTTTGTACGCTTGTAAACAATGAAATGAGCTGCCACTGGAATAATTTTAACAGCTCTCGGACGAGTTGACGAGAAATGACAACAGTCTGAAGTTGGTTGTTTTTTCATATCACCCTGTATGAACAACAGTTGTAAAAGTGTGTGTGTGTGCGTATTACTTTGACATAAAGATACGGGCTTTTAATATTAACAAGTAGAAAAGCAGTGAGTTCGGCCGGGCCGAACTTTGAATACCCTCCACCATTTGGAACGAATTAGAAAATTTTAAAAAAAAAAAAATCCAATAAAAATTCTTTTAAAATCTTTAAAATATCTAATATAGGAAGGTGCCGATATATGGGGGGATATACGATATTGTGGACCTATAAATACAAATCTATGTCTGCGTGTAAAGTACTCACAAGGAACTCCATGTGTGGATTTTCAGGCAATACGATTGGAAAATGTGGCTAAAATCATCAAAATACCGAATATCGCGGGGGTACCGTTATATGGGAGCTATACGTTATCGTTAACCTATATAGAGAATTCTCTGTCGGTGGGTAAAGTGCTCACAAAGAACCCCTTGTGTACAAAGAACCCCTTGTGACCATTCCGTTGAAAAATATGGCTAAAAACATCAAAATACCGAATATCGGGGGTACCGTTATATGAGGTACCAATATCGTGGATCTATATAGATAATTCTCTGCCGAGGTATAAAGTACCCACAAGGAACTCCTTGTGTGGATTTTCAGACAATTCCGATGAAAAATGTGGGTCAAATCATAAAATACCGAATATCGGGGGGTACCGTTATATGGGGGATATACGATATCGTGGACCTGTATAGGCAATTCTCTCTCAGGGGGTGAAGTACTCACAAGGAACTACTTGTGTTGATTTTAAGACAATTCCATTGAAAAGCGTGGCTAACATCATCAATATACCGAATATCGGAGGTTACAGTTATATGGGGGATATACGATATCGTGGACCTATATAGACACTTCATTTTGAGGCGGTAAAATGCCCACAAGGGACTCCTTTTGTGGATTTTCAGACAATTCCGTTGACAAATGTGGGTAAAATCATCAAAATACCAAATATCGGGGGTACCGTTATATGGGGGCTATACGATATTGTGGACCTATATAGATAATTCTCTGCCGAGGTATACCGAATATCGGGGGGTACCGTTATATGGGGGCTATACGATATTGTGGACCTATATAAATAATTCTCTGCCGAGGTATAAAGTACCCACAAGGAACTCCTTGTGTGGATTTTCAGACAATTCCGTTGAAAAATGTGAGTAAAATCATCAAAATACCGAATATCGAGGGGTACCGTTATATGGGGGCTATACGATATTGTGGACCTATATAGATAATTCTCTGCCGAGGTATAAAGTACCCACAAGGAACTCCTTGTGTGGATTTTCAGACAATTCCGTTGAAAAAATGTGGGTAAAATCATCAAAATACCGAATATCGGGGGGTACCGTTATATGGGGGCTATACGATATTGTGGACCTATATAGATAATTCTCCGCCGAGGTATAAAGTACCCACAAGGAACTCCTTGTGTGGATTTTTAGACAATTCCGTTGAAAAAATGTGGGTAAAATCATCAAAATACCGAATATCGGGGGGTACCGTTATATGGGGGCTATACGATATTGTGGACCTATATAGATAATTCTCTGCCGAGGTATAAAGTACGGGGTATATGGGGGCTATACGATATTGTGGACCTATATAGATAATTCTCTGCCGAGGTATACCGAATATCGGGGGGTACCGTTATATGGGGGCTATACGATATTGTGGACCTATATGAATAATTCTCTGCCGAGGTATAAAGTACCCACAAGGAACTCCTTGTGTGGATTTTCAGACAATTCCGTTGAAAAATGTGGGTAAAATCATCAAAATACCGAATATCGGGGGTTACCGTTATATGGGGGCTATACGATATTGTGGACCTATATAGATAATTCTCTGCCGAGGTATACCGAATATCGGGGGGTACCGTTATATGGGGGCTATACGATATTGTGGACCTATATAGATAATTCTCTGCCGAGGTATAAAGTACCCACAAGGAACTCTTTGTGTGGATTTTCAAACAATTCCGTTGAAAAATGTGGGTAAAATCATCAAAATACCGAATATCGGGGGGTACCGTTATATGGGGGCTATACGATATTGTGGACCTATATAGATAATTCTCTGCCGAGGTATAAAGTACGGGGTATATGGGGGCTATACGATATTGTGGACCTATATAGATAATTCTCTGCCGAGGTATACCGAATATCGGGGGGTACCGTTATATGGGGGCTATACGATATTGTGGACCTATATAAATAATTCTCTGCCGAAGTATAAAGTACTCACAAGGAACTCCTTGTGTGGATTTTCAGACAATTCCGTTGAAAAATGTGGGTAAAATCATCAAAATACCGAATATCGGGGGTTACCGTTATATGGGGGCTATACGATATTGTGGACCTATATAGATAATTCTCTGCCGAGGTATACACAAGGAACTCCTTGTGTGGATTTTCAGACAATTCCGTTGAAAAAATGTGGGTAAAATCATCAAAATACCGAATATCGGGGGGTACCGTTATATGGGAGCTATACGATATTGTGGACCTATATAGATAATTCTCTGCCGAGGTATAAAGTACCCACAAGGAACTCTTTGTGTGGATTTTCAGACAATTCCGTTGAAAAATGTGGGTAAAATCATCAAAATACCGAATATCGGGGGGTACCGTTATATGGGGGCTATACGATATTGTGGACCTATATAGATAATTCTCTGCCGAGGTATAAAGTACGGGGTATATGGGGGCTACACGATATTGTGGACCTATATAGATAATTCTCTGCCGAGGTATACCGAATATCGGGGGGTACCGTTATATGGGGGCTATACGATATTGTGGACCTATATAAATAATTCTCTGCCGAAGTATAAAGTACTCACAAGGAACTCCTTGTGTGGATTTTCAGACAATTCCGTTGAAAAATGTGGGTAAAATCATCAAAATACCGAATATCGGGGGTTACCGTTATATGGGGGCTATACGATATTGTGGACCTATATAGATAATTCTCTGCCGAGGTATACCGAATATCGGGGGGTACCGTTATATGGGGGCTATACGATATTGTGGACCTATATAAATAATTCTCTGCCGAAGTATAAAGTACTCACAAGGAACTCCTTGTGTGGATTTTCAGACAATTCCGTTGAAAAAATGTGGGTAAAATCATCAAAATACCGAATATCGGGGGGTACCGTTATATGGGGGCTATACGATATTGTGGACCTATATAGATAATTCTCTGCCGAGGTATAAAGTACCCACAAGGAACTCTTTGTGTGGATTTTCAGACAATTCCGTTGAAAAATGTGGGTAAAATCATCAAAATACCGAATATCGGGGGGTACCGTTACATGGGGGCTATACGATATTGTGGACCTATATAGATAATTCTCTGCCGAGGTATAAAGTACCCACAAGGAACTCCTTGTGTGGATTTTCAGACAATTCCGTTGAAAAATGTGGGTAAAATCATTAAAATACCGAATATCGGGGGGTACCGCTACATGAGGGCTATACGATATCGTGGACCTATATGGACAATTCTCTGGCGAGTTATAAAGTGCCCATAAGGAACTCCTTGTGTGGATTTTCAGACAATTCCGTTGAAAAATGTGGGTAAAATCATCAAAATACCGAATATCGGGGGGTACCGTTACATGGGGGCTATACGATATTGTGGACCTATATAGATAATTCTCTGCCGAAGTATAAAGTACCCACAAGGAACTCCTTGTGTGGATTTTCAGACAATTCCGTTGAAAAATGTGGGTAAAATCGTCAAAATACCGAATATCGGGGGGTACCGTTATATGGGGGCTATACGATATCGTGGACCGATATAGCCCATCTTCGAACTTGACCTGCCTGCAGACAAAAGAAAGATCTGTGCAAAATTTTAGCTTCCTATCTTAATTCGTTTAGACTGTAGCGTGATTACAACAGACGGACAGACGGACGAACAGGGCTAAATCGTCTTAGAATTTTACGCAGATCAAGAATATATATACTTTGTTGGGTCTAAAATGATTATTTCGATGAGTTACAAACGGAATGACAAAGTTTTTTTTTGGTGGAGGGTATAAAAAGCGAGATCAGTCGTCGTATATCTAGAAAAGTGTAGTTCCTCATTCCATTTAGAACGTATCATACCTTAGAATAGGTGATGTTTTGAAATTAAATCTCACTTTTACTTTTTTCGCTCTAAAAAATCAGAATGAATTATGGTTCTCCTACTTTCCGTTTCCGACTTTGTTCTGATATTATAATGGAAGATATTTCTTCAATTCACAATTATTAACTCAATAGTTTTAATATTTGCGTCTATAAACAATTTACACTGTGTCTTGAATGGTTGGTGTTGAAAATCATATATCTTTTCACGTTAACAATTGGCATTTGTAGGACATAATGGGTTCTAGCACCGGTGGCGACACATTGTACATATCTGCCCACGCTCGGTCCATCGGTCCACCTCCCGATATTCGGTATTTTGAGTATTTTTGCCACATTTTTCACGAATTTGTCTAACAATTGATATTTATAGGTCATAGTGGGTTCTAGCTCCGGTTGTATATATAGGTCCACGTTTTCGTAAAGTCCCCATATAACCATACCCACCGATATTCGGCATTTTGATAATCCTAGTTACATTTACCCCCGAAATTGTTTCAAATGCCGAAAAGCGATCCGTTGCTTTAAAAAAAGATTGGTCCATTTAATTTAAAATTAATTATTTTTAGGCGATTTTGAAATTCTACTTGACAAAACAGGGTGTCCCATATCTATCACAATTTTGTACTTACCTTGTTCTTGCACGTAACTTGCACCCTATATTTGGTGTCTGGCCACAGCGAAAGTTGAACTCCAAAGGATTCTGTGAGCAGGTTCCCCATTAGACCTCCACCAGACACTTCCCAGGTGACCAGACACTGGAACGGAGTGCTGGATTGCTCCCACGCAACATCGACTAGAACAAGTGAGTCATGTTGCACCATTGACACGGTTCGCAGTGACCACGTTTCCCGAATCGAAGACGTGGCTTTACTTTGGTCTCTGTGGATGCATTCGTTCAAACACTGAAACAAAATGAAGAATCATAATTTAAACATAAATATTTTGGATGTATGTATGTTTGTTCAACTCATTATTATATTTTTATTATATTATAGATCAAAAAAAATCGAATTAGCTGCGGTGGGGAGCCAAGTAGGTTGTGGCATAGCCTTGTGAGACCGTGACCGCGAGAACTGTTGATTTCAGATATGTTTTGTTGCTTAAAATACACTTTCAAATTGGATTTATACTTTGCTTGACCTTTTGACCCGTTAAGAGACATTTGCAGTTTGATCTATGTTACGAACCGAATTGCGAGTTGGAGATTTTAGATACCATGCCTTGATTTGAAAACCCCAACAACTTCTGCGGCCATCCAATATATAGCAACACCTCCCACTTTTACTGAGAAGGCCAACGACCCATGGAAACATGCAATTGCTAAGTGCATTTTGATGTCATTGTACGTCGTAAACAAAAATTCGTTGTAAATCCGGAATTCGAGAGCGTTTATGCATGTATGTATGAATGTATGTATCGCTGTTGAGCAGCTAACAGTTCATGTTAGTTATTGTTCGTCGCCGGCTCATGAGGTTGCTTTGCGGGTCTCTCTCCTTTGTCGATTCCCCTTAACTTGCACGCCATATGGATATACAATGAGCATGTCGCCGTCGTCATCGTCGTCGTGTATGACACAGAATTCCATTTCATGCTAAAATTATTAGCAATAAACAACGGCAATAGAACAGCCGCAACAACAATTGCATAATAAATATATTTTAAGAGCGGAAGTTTAGTGTGCCGGGTCGACATTTTGGTCAATAGTGATATGGGACAATGGATTAAAAAAAAAAAAACACAGTTTTACAAAGGTGGATTTTATATTTGCAAATGATCGACACTTCGATTCGTGTTCCGCAAACCAGGCAAGCAAACAAAATATACACATTTGTTTCAGTTCTAACTTTTACTAACTAAAGTCAGAGTAACGCGAGTGGAAACCGTGTGCCACTGAGCTACCCATTGTCGTTTACTATCCTATCCCAGAATAACATTCCATTGCTTTATCTTCGAGACATCAACGATTGGAATCAATGACTTTAATTGCGAACTGTACCATACGCTATTTGTCTGTTTTGATAAAAACACATTTCCAAGTTTGCATTTCGGGTTGCTCAGAGCTGATTAAAAAATGTATCTATATTTATACCCTACGGCACCATGTGTTGGGGGTATTCTATGTATGTCCGTCTGTCCACGTTAATTTGTAATCACTCTACAGGTCGCAATTATTGCCCGATCCTCACGAATGGAATGTAGATGCGACTAGGACCAGAATAGAAGCATATTTCTTTTGGAGTTCATCGCATAATATTTAGGGGTTGAAATGGACCAAAAACTGAAAATTTTCCTGATTTTGCAGTTGCTCTACAGGTCGCAGTTATAGACGAAGTTAGCACAGGGCTAAAGCTTAGGGCTTCCAATTTTGATGGTCATCGGGTAATATTAAGTGGGTGAAGTATATCATAACAATTGTGTTAAATAAAAGTAAAATTTTCCATTAAACAGCTAATTTTTTTAATCCCGGCGAAATCACAAATAGACGAACAGGTCAATTCTGACCGTTACGTAGATGCCGATAGTAAATATATGGGAAATATAGCGCAGTATATATAATGTATATATACAAAGGAAGGAGATGTTAGCTAGAATGCTTATATCTCAAGAATGGCTGGACTGATTTTGAAAAATTTTGTTAATTCAGAATGCCCTCTTGGCATAAAAGTATAAAATCTATAAAAAATCGCATAAAAATGCCAATAATGATGTTAATATAGACTTTGTAGTATTTTGTGGCATTTTTTTTATTTTTTCATTTTTTTATCGCATGCGATTTTTTCAGTTTGACTTATGATATTGAAATGTACATTTTGTAATATTTGTTCACCTTACAACACAGGTTGGGGATATTATATACAGATTTCAATTATCGTCTGATCCTCAAGAAAATTTTCATAAGGGTATGATTAGGCTCAGGAGGGCTAGGCCTATTACTTTTAAAGATGTCCGCAATATATTTAGGGGTTAAAATGGACCAACATCTAAAAATGTTCCTGATTTTGCAGCCGTTGTAAAGGTCACAAATAGAAACCAAAAGACACGAAATCTCGCATGAAGTTAGAGTTTACGACAGCGGGTAAAATGGACCACTACTTTTGTGAGAAAAAATACCAACATTTCTATTCTACCGAAACGCTGAAAATAATTTACAGCGAAATCCGAAATACACAAACGGAGAGCTTTTTGTGCTGATTTCAGCCAAATATCGTAGACAGTATAGATCATATAGATGAGTCTAAATTTGGAGATACAGAGGGGCCTCTCGCTTTTGGAGATGATCGCAAAATATTTTGGGGGTTCAAATGAACCAAAAACCGAAGAATTATCCTGATCACACAATTGAAACCAATCAAACGTCCATCTATAATTTCAAAGCGAATTCTTCCAAACATTAAACAAAAAACTGGTCCAAAAATTCAATAACAACATGGAACTTACATATATGTCAGAAAGTCCAGCAACACTTGTTGCATCCAATGAGTTTTCGTCACTGTAATTAGTCGCCTTTCGAAGTGTTCGCCATTTCCCTAAGTTTCCGAATATACTTGCAACGCCACAATTTAAGCGGATTTAATCTTCCGCTCCTGTTTTATAGTGCATTGTCTATTCTTCTTTCCCTTTGCAATTTATCTATTCATTCCAGGCGAACTCAAGACGAAACAAGCAAGAAATGTACAATGCTCCTGCAGACAGAACTTTTTTCTTTTGGGTCTAGCCACACAAAGAGTTCCCAGACCAATACAATCTAAGTTAGTACACACATACATTGGACAACTCATGGATTTTTATCCACCCCAACAGACCAATGCTTTTGTGCGTTTTGTGAATGTGCCAAGTTTGAAAGGGAGGGGTGGGCGTTGGTATCAGAGGAAGGAAGGAAGGAACTCGGAATAAACCATCCAAAGAATCCTACAAGGAATACGTAAAACAAACTTATCTTTTCTTACATCTGTCGCCATACGGACATACGCCCAGGCCCTACGCTTGTCTTAAAAGGGAAAGCAACGTTAGCTTCTAAATTGAAATAAAAATGAAAATGAAAAGAAAATAACAACGTCTAAAAAAAAGAGAGAAAAGTTATAACTCAGCCTGGGGAATTGTTGTAATTTAATTTTGCCTCTTCTTTAGTTTGTACTCGTAATGGGGTTGCCGTAGGCTACGAAATAAATGTGACTTCAGTAGATGCTGTTCTGACTTTTCAGATGTTCTCCTGCATACAGCTTCAACGACAAAGAATTCGAGTACAGCTTTCTCAAGAATGATTAATGCAAACTTCGTAAAAACTTGGTTTTACCTCACCATTCTCTCCTCGAGGTTAAAATTTGTCTCTCATACGTTATTTAAATAATTTACTTTGCGTGTGCTACAGAACAATATGGGTAAATCGCAATATGTTAGAACGTGCCCTCAGCCCTGACAGCACACAAAAACTATTTAAGACCATTTCGGTGATAACATAAGCCAATAGTTCTCTCAATAAATTTGTGACAATTATTGCCAGTTATTATTTTAAAAATTTTTATTTCTCTAATTTTGTGAGAAGCACTTAAAAATTGGGGATAACACCTCACAATTGCCGTTTTTAGTTTAGGATTCTAAAAAATGGGCTTAGTTTAGGTCAGATAACGATCTTATAACATCTTACGGTAGGATGGGGCCAAATCAATTGACTTTGTAATCGCTTTGTGTTACAGTAGTACTTTTTCCATTTTGTGATACCAGAGGGTGGTGAGGTTGGATAAACTTCTTGACAAGGGAAACTTTGATAATATGTCTAGATGAATAAAATTATCTATCTTTTATAGATATACAACGATGCGTAAGTTCTGGTCAGACTTGGGAAATTCCCTTCGGGAACACACTTTCGGCACACGCACTCTAGGACATGCCCTGGTCAACAAAAATTGTCCTGAATTTGATTTCGTCCATTCGATTGTAACAATTGCTTTTGTATGATTTTTACCGAAATACGTCGAGAGAACATAATTTCAAAGCTAACAAGCCTACCTAACAGACGACCAAGCGTGCAAAAACTCTAAGTTTCATACGACCGTATTACAAAATTACGCCGAACTCATTTTTTAAAATCATCCAAGTATTCAGAATTTAGAGCTTTTCAGATTTATCCTCTTGTAATATTTTCCAATTCCAAATGTAAACTTAGTCCTATGCATGTCATAATTACAGAAGGTAGAACAAAGCTACACCCTGAACAATTTTTTTCTTTTGTTGCCTTTATTCTGTCAAAACAGATACACATTTTGTGTATGTGTGTGTATAGTTTTGAATAAAAATAAAATAATTTGAAATTATTTCAAATTTGGTTGCAAAATAAATGCAAATTTTCGACGTAAATGGGTAACAAATTGTACAATTTTGTGATAAAACTGTATTGTCCTACTATTTTAGATTCGATCTTGTGGAATAGCCCCGAAATTCAATTCTTGTTTCGCGGGTTTTTCCCAATTTAAGGATTTTGTTAAAAAATAAAAAATAAACAAAGCCAATTGTTGCACATTTAAAAGTCTATTTGACACGATAAGACTCCAGCACAGAGCTGAATTTCTCTAGATTCATTGAAGTTGAGCAACCTGTCTTATTGAGCCATGGTTTTGGCTTTTTTATATCTTTTATCTTTTTTATTTTCAATATTTAAAAAAAAGTACTTCGACAAACAGAACATTTTTATGCCCTCCATCATTCATCATATGGAGGTATATTAAGTTTGTCATTCCGTTTGTAACTCCTCGAAATATTCATGATAGACCTCACAAAGCATATATATAAATTCTAGATCAGCGTAAAATTCTAAGACGATCTAGCGAGGTCCGTCTGTCTGTCTGGCTGATAATCACGTTATCTTTCCAACGAATTGAGATAGAAGGCTAAAATTTTGCATACA